CCCCTCAATATCTTTTCTTGAAAGGAATCAAAACTGCTTTCTCCTTCCTCTGTAGTCTACTATGTTACTGTTATCAGTCAATAAATTGAAATTTTAAGTTGAGGACAAAATGTTCCTTGCACTTTGCAAAGGGTGCAGTAACCACAGGTGAGTGGAGGATGGTGGTAAGTTTTGTATGGGAATATTGGAAAAAGTCAGTTCAAGAACCCAAGTATTTGTAATGAAAGAGGGTTCTTCTTGCTGAAGTCTCTGACCCATACTCCTGTATCATGCAGCACTATGCAATATTCCTTGGAGAAAGGGCCAGTGCAGGATGTAGTTCCCAACAAACACTTGACAATAATCTCCTCCTTATCACCCCCAAAATGGGAAGAGTCTCTGTGACATCCTTGGAGAAAAAGAAGAGCGATAGATATCGACTTCTGCCAGCGCTTGGCCAGGGTGGAGGGGCAATGCTGGGGCTGCGTAACGCCCCGGGTGTGCAGGTCGATGAACATAAGTCTGGAGGGGTTTTGAAGGCAGAAAGCTGCAAACGTGCCCCAGAGTGGGTTGAAGCCCACTGGTTTTTAAGTTCCTGGTGCTGAGAGCTACAAAGGAGTCAACAGATTTGATGGGTGTGAGATGCCTGACTACAGGGGGGATGTCTCATTGTCTCTAGCTTTAGTTTTCTAATATTAGCTGTCTAACACGTGCACCTCCAGCATCTGCCCAGCCCCTTGGGGACAGAGGAGGTCTCATTCATGTCTGTTTGACTTCAGCAAGTAACCTGAGAGGAAATGACTTGCTCAAAATCACCCATGATCTTGCTGTGTGCACTAAGCACAGAGCACCTCTTTTTCCAATTTTAGCCAAGCTCAAGGCTGAAATTTGGAAAATTTAATCCAGTTTATCAATTAGATCAAACTGCCTAATGAAACCCATGAAATGCATGTATGGTAAGATGGGGGCTGTTGCAATGAACTGTCTGGGGCATGCCTGCCCTGGCCGGTGAAGCCACTGAGATGGGGAATGCAGCCTGCAGGAGCTGGGACGAGATTGTTTTCCCTGCTCATCCTCTACTGCTGATTTCAGAAATGCAGCTCTAACTCCCAGCTCTGCCAGGGCCTCTCATTCACTTCCCTTCCCTCCTGCAGCCTCCTCCAGCTGTTGCAGCAATAAGAATGAATGTCCATCCTGAGTCCACCTTGCTCATGACCTTCTCCCAGTAACGACTACACTTCACTTGAGTGGAGGCCTACCAAGGTGATCTGTGGGTTGGAGAACGTGCTGTACTAAGAGAGGCTGGATTTGCTCAGTCTGGAGAAAGGGAGAGGGGGTGATTCAGTCTTTTGACGTCCTAATGAGTAGCTATGAAGTCAGACACTTCTGAGGCACACAGTGAAAGGATAAGAGGTAATAGACACAGGTTACAACAAGGGAAGTTCCCATTAGGCAAAGAAAAACATTATTCCCCATGGTAGTGATGCAATGAGGACACAGGGACCAGAGAGCTAGTGGGATCTCCATCCTTTGAGATTCTCCAAACTTGCCTAGACAAGGCTTGCCTGAGCAAGCTAACCTGGGTTTGGAGTTAACCCTGTTCTAAGTAGCTGATTGGACTGCAGACCTCCAGGGGCCCCTTCCCACCTCAATTTTTCTGTGATTTACAGTGATAAACTGTTTTATTTTCCAGCCCACATGTCACCTGATTGCACTGTGCACTAGCCCCATGAATGCAAGTCCTATAGCACAAGCTATTCTAGCCTGTTGTATCATGTTTCTGTTAGGGCTGGTCTCCTGTCATTATGAAAATTTCCAGCTATGTCTTTGCTCATAAAGACGTATCCAAAGCTAATCTGTGCCTTGTGAAACTGAGTGATTCATGGATTCATCATGGAGCTGCAGCTGGAGCATGATAAATACAATTTCCTCAGTCCTGACGATCTGTCTCTAATATGTTTACCCTAGAACCCCTCTAAAGTTTTTAATATCAGTGCTAATGCCTCGATTTAACTGTACAGTAACTGCATGCACCAGATGAGCTCCCTTTAGTACTGTTCTCCTTTTGAAGACTGCGTGGCTGAGTCCTTGGCACTGCGCAGTCCAAATACTTTGGTGTTCCACTGGAACTATTTGTGCCAGCAGTTTCCAGTGGGAATTTCTCCCATTTCAGAATCCAGATATTTTTTATTTAGTCCTGAAACCACTGATTTCAAATTTAGAAGTCAAACGTGATCTTTAACTTAGGCAGCTCTTTCCTCTCTCTAGCACTCTTGCACTGACAGCAGTCCGTTCTCTTCTGAGACTTCATTTGCTTACCGTGAAGAAGACAATTTTCTGAGTCTTTTCCCATTACATTAGATCACCTTCCCTGTCTCCACCTCTCTTCTGGCCAATGTGTGTCTTAGCAGACACGGTGAATAGGAGAGGTATTAAAGCTGCATGATGAAAGTTCATTATATGAGCAAACCCCTCCTCTTCCTACCTAAGACTCACTTAAATTGAGCCAGGCTCTGAAAAGGGTGCAAAGACCCAGGGGCAAAAGGGAGTCACCTGAACATGGATACATTTAGTCTTGGAAACTTGGAGCTGTAGTTTCTGAAAACGCCTTGCAGGTTAGGCAAGACCTGACTGCTTTTGAAATGGCAACATAATGGATCTAGGTGCTAGGGATCCTTGTAACAGAAGAGAATTATAGCCGAGGATTTTAGTATTTGTGGGTTTGGAGCCTAAATGTTTTGTTAGATCTGAGCTGACTATCTCTCCATGGTGAGGTGGGAATGTAATAATTTTTATTATCTCTTTATGCCCTTGCCTTTTCCCATACTTACCAGAGATAATTACCAGCTGTTGAAAGCCCCAAATAACCAGTAGCCTAGCTTCAAACTCTTGCATATCTGATGCCTTTTTGAGAGCATGTCTGTCCTCAGTGCTCCGAGAGTGTGGAGTTACCTTCCTGCATGGAACAGCTCGGTGATGCCCAGTCGGTGCCAGTTGTTCCTCACTTTGGTGTTGCCACAGAGAACCACCCCTCACAGCTGACCACACCAAGGGTCTAACAGACTCTCGCACTTGTAAATCTGCTTATGTGGACCCTTCTCTGGTTATGCTTTGTTTTGACCATGTGGACACAAACAGTTGTGCTGGAGACATTTTTCTGTCTTCTCCTCAGTTTCAGCATCTTGTGTTCTTGTAGATCAGCTGTATTTTAGGGTTTCTGTGTTTCTTTGGGTAAGTCATCAACTTGCTAAGCTTAGTAACTGTTTGGTAGTGCACTGATTACTGCTGAAGCATAATTTTCTTACAGCTTTGATGAAAGTATTTGAAAATTGCTGTCAGTGACTTAAAATAAAGCTTTTCAGTGGTTTGTGTTGAGTTTCTGTTTGCACACTTCCCTGTCCCTAGACATTCTGGGTGAGTTTTCATGCGCAGAGTTGTATAAGATGTTCCTCTTGCATCAAGAGCCCGACAACAGTGGCCTTGATTTGAAAGCTATGGCTGGCCTTGCACGACCGCCATTCAAAGTGCCTTTCACTGGCTTTACATTTTAAGAACCTCTCTCCTGGTTGATCAGGGTGAACAAGTTGCACATCAGTTCAACATTCACCCAGTTATGAAAGACCATAATTCATGCTGATGAGATATTAAGAAGGTCAATAGGCATTAGGGAGTAATTGTTTGCTGGATCAGACCTTGGGTAAGCACAAAAGAGACGTGGCCATTCTCTAAAAGTGCCAGTACAGAGGGACCATGGTGCCTGGGTCCGGTGTGCACACGTAAGGTGCCTGTCTCTTCCATGTGAGGAGGCTGTGGACAAAGCTCTTTGCTTTGGCTGCCTCTCCTGTGGATGCAGGAAAGCCTTGAGCGAGCTGAGCTGCAAGTCCTGGAGTCACTTCACGACAGATTTCCCATGAAAGACAGGAGACGAAGGGTCCCTGGCTAAGCCAAGGGAGCAGGGGGCACAGGCAATGCCTTTCTTCATTATTATGCATTTCCTCAGTTTCTTCATAAAATATTACCAAGGCTTGTCCATTTTACTGTTCTTGGGGATTTGGTCTTGTTCTTCAGGTTGCAAGTGACAGCCAATGTGGTCCTCGGACTATTCCCTTTTGACAATCTGCAGCTTTCAGTCCTGGCTGAAATTTAGTATTGTTATCTCTCTTAAGTGACCGTCGTGCAGGTGACAAATTGTGAAGCTTTTGCTTTTCAATCTAGTCATTGTACTTATTGCAAAGATCATTTTCATGCAGTGGTTTTAGACAAAATGCAGTTGGAGCCCTGCCAGGTTATAGTTGCATTTTCCTGATATATGAAGATTCTGCCTAAACATGTGCCTGCCTCTGGCCGTGAAAACATCAGGAGTAGCTTGCTCTTGCTTAGTTTATCTTTTTGTCTAGACATATGGCACTTTTTCTACTTTTCCCACTCTACTTGAGGAATTTCCAGTTGCTCAGCTTGGTCCCTCCGATGCCTAGATGTATGGGGCAGGAGCTGGCTACTAGGATCACTGGTTTTCTCTTTCTCTCCTCAATAATACTAATTTCTGATTTCCTGGACATATTGCGGCCAGCTCACTTGTTAGTGAAGGTCAATGCTTGCACAAAGAGTGAGACAGCCTGGTGTCTGTGCTTTCCGACACATGCTGCTCCCTCCCATAAAGATTCTCTTAGAAGTCCTCAGGGTTCCCATGCAAGGAGCCCCCCTGAAGGGGGGCTGTCTCTTCAAGCAGTCATTGCTCCACTAGCCCAGAGCCACACACCCCTGCACACAGGCAGCCTTGCTACTGCTTGTTTGTCCCTGTGTACCAGCCAGCTCCTACACACAGCACTGCTGGGGTGCCCTTGCTAAACCGGCTTTCCACAGTCAGTTCAGCTCCGAACAGCAAACACAGCCTGTCTACAGCACTGCTCCCGAATTTCTTCCAGCTTTGTGCCACCCACATGTAGTTGATCAAGGGAATCTGAACTCTCCTCCACAACACTGAGTGCTTGTGACTCATTTGCTGCTCTGTGCAACTCTGGGCTAGAAGGATGGAGCTTTTGCTCCTTCACTACCCATTTACTTTCTTGTTCATCGCATTTCTAGTCCTGTACCAGGTGAAGCCTGCATTCAGATACTTCTGCAAGATGACCTTCTATAAGCTGTGGCTCTTCACCCTAAGCATTCTGGTTGTTATAGTCTGTATTCCTCGTGGACGTAACGTGGAAAACATAAAGTAAGTTGTCTGTGGCTTCTTTCTGCTCTGGGCATTGACAGTTTTGGAGGGTCCTGGGAGTTGGGCTGCAGTGGGGAGGAATTACTTGTATATTGGTGTGGAGAGTTGACAGGCCCTGTAATTCCGAGAAGGGATGTGGGTTCCGGTATTGTATTTTGGTTGATAAAAAGAATAATGAATTATAGAAGGAAAGTATGTGAAAGGTGACCTAAATTTGACAAATGAGGTAATGCCAACAAACTAGATGTAATGCACAGGTAAAAAGTAACTTGCTGTTTTTAGTAAATTTCTCCTATCTGATCTTCAGAGCCATATTTCCTTCTTCCATGTGGCTGATTATTCGCTTTCTAAGTTGTGTTTAGAAGGCCTCTGTAGGTGCTCTTCTCTTTCTCAACTTTATTCTGACCCGGTGCTCACCTGAACAGGCACGAGCAGACACTACCACAGTGCAGTGCTCACTCCAGCATTGTCACTGGTGTCCCCATCACTCAGTTGCAGCCCGGTGCCCCAGGCCTGGCAGTCTCTGAGCCTGTCCACTTGCGCCCGTCCCCTCTCTCCATCTGTTACCTCCTCTGCCACAAGGTGCTGGACTCTGTGCAGCTGGGTGTATGCGTGTGATGAGCAGCAACAGGCATTAGTAGCCTGGGGTGTGGGTTGAGTAGGGCCTAGAAGCTGACTGCTACACAGCAACATAGTGCTTGTAGCCTCCTGAAGTGCTGCAGAGGAAGGATTTACTAATTCTTTGTTGCTGCTGCAGTGGGAGTTTGTGTCTCCTAATTGAGCATCAGCCTTTCAGTTTAAGAATTTTTCTTCAGTTCTTGACTTTTGTGTCTGGCTTTTGTTCTTTTCTTTATTTTTCCAGTAGCTGTTAAAATATGGCTACCAGAATTGCAAGCCTCATGTCACCTAGTGCAAAATCATCCCTTTTTCCACAGCCTGGGCAATAGCATGTTTATTGCAGGCCATATTCATGATTCAGCAAGGTGGGCAGGGAAGTAGAGTACAAACAGGTGCACTATGAATTTGGGAGTTATCTCATATTTGGCTGATGCATGGAATTGCTGTAGTTGTGGCTGCTGGGCCATGGGTCTAACCTGGAAAACCTGCTAGGTGTATTTGTCTTCTCTCATGAAGTGATGAGCTGAAGAGACATACTAGTTGAACTTCTCCACGTCAAGGGTCAAATCTGGGTCTGCAGAGAAACAGGCTACTCTGCAGGAGCAGTCTGTGAGACGGGCTGGTTTGGAAGAACGGTCATTTGGGCCCTTTACCCAATTTCAGCATCTCTGGCTAATGTCTCCTCCCCTTTTCCAGGTTTTTGCGCATGTCACTCCTGCCACTCAAATACATCTTTGGTGTCAAGATAGTAGTGAAGGGCAAGGAGAACCTCAGAACTAAGAAACCTCGCGTCTTCGTGTTGAATCACCAGACCTCCCTTGACATTATGGGTATGTGGTGATCCTGCCTCCTGCTCCTGGCCCCAGTTGTCTGTAGGGAAGGGTAGTACAAAATCCCAAGTACCACAGGCAGAGGGGCAGGAGTGGCTGCTACCATATTCCATTACCAGCTAGCCCCAAGCCAGGGCTGATCTCCAGGGTGTTACAGCCAGTGTTGTTCTCCATTAGAGGCTGTATAAGAGGTATTTACAAGCTAAATCAGCTTCATCCTTTCTAAGAGAATGGCGATGAGACTGTCAGCTGACCACAGCCATGTCATAGCTGCTCAGTGTTGGCAATAGTACCCCCCTAAGTGAGTGGTTGTTCTAGAGACCCCCAGAATCCCTTTCCCACCATGTTTATGAGCCTCTGAAGCTGGATGGGTGCTGCAAGCATGGCATCTCCCAGAGCAGAGGGCTGTAGCCAAGAATCTGGAGGAAACTTCAGTGCAGATGACAACTTTTTCTGTCCTTGTTCTCCCCTTGCAGTGATGATGGATATATTACCAAGTCGCTGTGTGCCCATTGCAAAGAAGGAAGTCCTATACATGGGCCCTTTCGGTCTAGCATGCTGGCTTTCAGGAATTGTTTTCATTGACCGCAAGAAGAAGGAAGAGGCTATCACTACCTTGATGGAGGTGGCACACTCCCTGCACAAAGAAAATGTGAGTGGAGAGGTCTCTGGAAAGGATCCACTAGAAAACATGAGCCTTGACATAGCTGGAAAAGGATCTTTGTCTCTGGGCTGGGTACTGAGCAGAACAGAGTGAAGGTATCTCTGGTGGGTTCAGTGTGTTTTGTGTCCATAGAGTACTTCACAGAATCACAGAATCATCTAGGTTGGAAAGGACCCTGTACCCATCTAGTCCAACCGTTCGCCTAGCACAGTTCCCACCTACAGCAGATCCTTAAGCTCTAAATCGACCCGACTCTTGAACCCCTCCAGGGATGGGGACTCCACCGCCTCCCTGGGCAGCCCATTCCAATGCCCAACAACCCGTTCTGTAAAGAAATGCTTCCTAATACCTAGTCTAAACGTTCCCTGGTGCAACTTGAGGCCATTCCCTCTTGTCCTGTTGCTTTCTACTAGGCTAAAGAGGCTCAAACCCAGCTCTCTGCAGGTTCCTTTCAGGTAGTTGCAGAGGGCCAGGAGGTCTCCCCTCAGCCTCCTCTTCTCCAGACTAAACCCCCCAAGTTCCCTCAGCCGCTCCTCACAGGACATGTGTTCCAGACCCTGCACCAGCTTTATAGCCCTTCTCTGGACACGTTTGAGTAACTCAATGTCCTTTTTGTAGTGAGGGGCCCAAAACTGAACACAGTAATCAAGGTGCAGCCTCACCAGTGCCCAGTACAGGGGTCAGATCCCTTCCCTGTCCCTGCTGGCCACACTAGTGCTGACACAAGCCAGGATGCCATTGGCCTTCTTGGCCACCTGGGCACACTGCTGGCTCCTGTTCAGCCGGCTGTCAATCAACACCCCCAGGTCCCTCTCTGACTGGCAGCTCTCCAGCCACTCCTCCCCAGGCCTGTAGCCCTGCTGGGGGGGCCCAAGGGCAGCCTCCGGCATTTGCCCTTATTGAAACTCCCCCAGCTGGGCTCAGCCCATGGCTCCAGCCTGGCCAGGTCTCTCTGCAGAGCCTCCCTACCCTCGAGCAGATCAACACTCCCGCCCAACTTGGGGTCATCTGCAAAC